ACCTACACAGCCAACAACACAGCAACAGCCCCACCCCACGTCTTCCAGACATCCTCGGGCAAACATACCCGACTTGATATACGAAACCACAGACTCCGACGCCAACATAGACAACGACGACGCATGGGCCAAGATGAATGGAGCGGCAGACACACATAAGTTCTACCTCACCTCACTGCCACGGAACAAATATCACGACATGTAATGCCCGAGCGGATGAACAGCTTTTCACCACCACGCCAGCGACACGGACACGGACGGTTACAACGACGATCGATGGCACCACGCGCTGTACTACCACGAACGCTCTAACACTTACACATACAAGTTCCCCCTAACGACCATTTATTGCTACCAGGGTGGAGCAGGCACCTAGACAAGTTCAACAACGAGCTCTTCCTGCACCAGGATGCGAACCAATATTTACCACACCCTCTACTACGACCCGACTCAAGAGCAACACCACTCTCGACCTTCCAACACCACCCATGACCGAAACCAACTACATCACATTAAAGGACGCCATTCACGCCGACACTTTCTTACCTCCACCCAAGCTCACAAAACGTCAGACCTTATTCCGATATGGCAACGGCATGGACGCATTAGCGGGCTACTACCGCACTAACGCGGCAATCCATCTAGCTGTAACTACCACCAGCCAGCATTTCTAAACACGAATGACCGGTGGACAAGCAAAACTTAACCATAACAAGACTGCAGCGATACAAGGTAGCACAATGGCTGAACACATGCCACGACGTCGACAACAAAACGAAGTACGACTGGGCGGTCTATATCTACGACACGGCTGCACTCCTACAAATAGTTTGCAACCCGACGGCGGCCCCCAGCATTACGAGGCCGACGACGCAACCGGCAGACAACTACAGCACAAGCGAAGAGGACACGCCGACAACCACCAACTCGACGGACGACAGGCCAGCAGCACCACCAGCTCCACCTCCGACCACGCACGCCCCACCTGCCAAAACAACACCACCAATACTATACTCCCAACCAATCAAAGAGGGCACGCCAACAACCACCAACGCGACCATCGACAGACCAGCAGAGCCTCCTGCACCACCTCCAACCACACATACACCACACGCCAAAAAAAAAACACCGCCCCTACCATCCACCTGTAAACAAAAAATACCAAAGACCACCCACAACATCCTCAACAAGTCCACCGCAGACACGCCTGCTGCGCCCCACTCGAAGGCCATTACCACAGGGTCACCCACAGCAAGGATCGCCATACCCGTGCTCCCACCACCTCCAATGCTCAAAATGTCCATCGTCTGCCCGCCCTACGAGGACGTCATGACGCTGCGATGGCTGCAAGAGGTACCGATGCACCGCCTCGCGCCACAGACATACGCTATCCTACAGATGTACTTCCGGGCTCAAGTACGCCAAGAGTCTCCGATAAATACTTTCTACGTACAAAACATCGTCACCGACAGCCGTGGACGCATCTTTGTGCACGACACTGGTGACGCACGCTTTCACGAGCACATTGACACAATTCGATCACACCAAACACGCACGAGCAATACCTCGTCAACCTCCACACGCGCAGCAGCCAACAAGACGCACCATTTCAAAGAAGCACCACCGCACAAGGCAATGCCACGACTATTCAAGGCGCAACCGAAACTCATGCCAAAGAACAACCGCGACGACAGCAACAGACACGCTTGAGCGACCATCCAAGACACAGCTAAGCACAACCGAAGTAACATACAGAGCAACACCACGACATCCACCACCAGTAGCAGATGTGCTTCGATTGCCGCAGAGCATAGACACCTGATCCTCCCTCCCTTGACTGCAGTTGGCAGGCCAAGGGACCAGCGACTAAGTTTACAGTACTCGCTTCCCCTTCTCAGGCTGAAGGCATCGACAGAGGCACCTTGTGATACCACTCCCCCCATCATAAGCGTGCGATGACAGTGCCTCTATCCCACAGCACTGTCCTCCCATCCTAGGCGACAGCCATGTTGGCAAGGCGGTAGGGGAATACCCTGATACTCCCACTGTGGCCTACCGACCACAAACAGCCTAGCACACAGTACTCTCTCTCTCTCTATCCCTCTCTCTCTCTCTCCCTCTCTCTCTCTCTCTGTCTCTGTCTCTCTCTCTCTCTCTCTCTCTCTCTCTCTCTCTCTCTCTCTCCCTCAGCACACCCTCAGGTCGACACCCACTTTTTGGTACTTGCGCAACAACATGCAGGCATGCAATTGCCCTAACTGTTGGCAGAATGGGTCGTGCGAAGCCCGTGGACCTACAAAAAGCACGAGGGCCCTGGGACCGAGGAAGTTCGGGGCGAACCAACAAAAACTGGGCATTGACCCGAGAACTGCCACAGATTGCCTATGCCACTTGGCACTTCAATGCCTGCGTTTCCTCTTGCGTGCCACAGGAATGATACACGACGGTCGGAGGAATTCATGGGGTGGGGCGGGAGAGACCATGACTCACCAAGCGAAGCAGCACCGACCAACGTCGGTTCACTTCTTTCTCTGGCGGCTACAGTACAAGCAGCACTATGCTTCTTTTTTAACCCAAAGGGTGTAGCAGCCCAAGAAGTGCACACATACTAGACAGGCACCTGTTCACCTGCTTGTTCGTGTACGCCTGAATTTGTGTGACTGCCCAAGCACAGGCAGTGGCATAAATAGACACAGCATGCCTTTTCCACCACCTCAGCAGGCCAGCCAACATCTCTGGCAAGCCTACAGCCCCAGTGAACTGCAGCACACCTTCTCCTTTTTGACTTCTTCTACGCAGCAGCATTTGTTTGTTTGGTCTAGGGGTGGCAGCCCAAGATTTGCATACCAGGCAGACACCTGTTCACTTGCTACCTGTTGTCGCCTGTCTCAAACGTGGGATTGGGGTTGGGCTAGCGGAGGTTGGGGGTTGCGGAGGAGGACTACAGTACCGACCAGCCTAGGCTACCTCTCTTGGACTGCTCCAGCACAGCAGCACATTGTTGTTTGACCTTAAGGGCAGAAGCCCAAAAATTGCATACTAGGCAGGCGCCGTCCACTGGAATTTTGGACGCTTGACTCTAGCGAGGTAGAGGATTGGGGTTGGGTCTATGTCGGAGGATGCAGGTTGTGGAAGAGGACGGCAGCACCGACCAGCTTCGGCCACCACTTTCTTTGACTGCTCCTGCAAAGCAGCACCACATGTTCTGACCTTTACGGATTGCAGCGCAAGAACTGCATACTAGGCAGGCACCTGTTCACTTGCAAACTCTTGCACGCCTGACTTTAACGTGGTGGAAGGTTTGGGGTGAACTCTTAATAGAGGATGGGGGCTGGGGTGGAGGACTGCTGTACAGACCAGCTTCGGTCACCTCTCTCGTTGACTGCTCCAGCACTTTCCTTCAGGGTAGCAGCACAAGAATTGCACACTAGGCAGCACCGTTCTCTTGCCCTTTGGACGCCTGACTCAAGCGTGGTGGAGGTATGGGGTTGGGCCTATGACAGAGGATGGGTGGTAGTGTACGGCAGCACCGACCAGCTTCGGTCACCTCCCTCCTTGGAAGCTCCAGCACAGCAGCACCATGTTGTTTGTTCGACCATGAGGGAAGCAACCCAAAAATTGCATGCTGGGCAGGCACATGTTCACTTGCTAACTTTTGGACGCCGGACTGTCACGTGTTGGGACTGGGGCTGGATCTATTTGTCGGGGGGGGGGGGCAGCACATTCCAGCGTCACATCAGCACATAAACTGCCCCAACACAAGCGGCAGTCTTTTTAGACGCTAAGGCCAGACAACACCCATGGCAAGCTTGCATTTGCTCAAATCCAGTCACTGTGCGTCTGACCCACAAGAAAATAAGTGACAGAAGCAGACACAGCATGCTGTCCATGCCTTTCAGCAGGCCAGCCAACATCTCTGGCCAGCCTACAGTGTGCTCACAGCACCAGCAATTTCTGTGTACCTGAATCTTTGTATACGGAAGTAGCTTATACCTATTATTTGCTGTTTCGTTTCCATGTTTTGGTGCATGTGTCCTACTAAGATACGGCATGTTTCCTGTACCTGGCGTGCGCCTACTAAATTTTCTTCACTGTGCCGCCTTTCTCTTTTTACATCTGTTTCTGCGGCGCCTGGCAAAATAAAAAAAACAAAAAAAAATATAGAAACGGAAAAACCGCAAAAGAAGAAGAACTATAACGAAAAAAATAAAAGAAAAAAACAAAAAAAGCAAGGAGAAGGGACTAAAGCAGAACAATAAAAGCAAGATAAAAAAAAGACAAAAAAAAAAAAGAAAATAAGGGGAAACGAAAGAGGGGTGTGGGGTGGGTAGGGAAGGGCAGCGTTGCGGGGTGGAGGGAGACGGTTTGAGTAATGGGGTTTCGTTGATTCGTATTTTATTGTTGGTTTTTAGGGGTGGGGGTGGGTTGGTAAGGATGAGGTTGCGAATGACAAAGTACAAGGCGGTGTCGAGTACCGTAGAAAGCTCTTGCTTTTCTTGAACGAAACCTCCCAAAATATGGGACGTGGGCTGACATTACAATCGGGCTCATGGTTCTTTCTCGCCAGCCCGACACAACCACTCTCGATATTATACGTACAATTATCATGAGCGAGCATCTTAGCGTTTATCCATCTGAGTCTCTGGAGATCCCGTAATATCTACGTAGATCCCTCAATATTCGGGCTAACGAAAAGTCCAACCAGAAAAGGCCAAGAGTAAGACATCCGAACGAGCCGACATGTAGATCCAGGCGAGCCGAGGCGAGGAGTTACTGACACACTAGAGTCCACAGAACCCACATCACTTACTCACCAACGCGCCAGAAGGTCTCAGTAGCGGAGAAGGCGAAAGAGGAGGAGTGACCGTCTAGACGGTATGGTGCTATTGTGGACTCCATTCGAAGCTATCGCCGATGAGACGGGCAAACGAGGAGTGGGCGAGAAGGAACGGAGTGAACAGGTTGGCCAGCTTCATATCGTCAATTGTCTATGTAGGCGCCTCGGCGCCGACGCGCATGGCGGAGAGCACAGCGACGGCTTCAGCGGTGAGCGCGGACCGGAAGTTCGCCTCCGCCACGCGCGCCTGCAGGGGCGGGGGTCGGGGGTCGAGTAGGGCGCGGGGGAAGCCATGACAACATCCTCAGACCCCCACGCGATGAAAAAAACAACGTCGGGCCATCCGCCCTCCTCCTGCCCACCTCCGCTCTTCCGCCATCTCCTCCGCATGCTCATCATTTTCCTCCTCCTCCTCCTCTTCATATTATTACTCTCATGATTATGATAATTTGTCTTACGCTTATTATTAGTATTCTTCTTCATAGTATTACCATCATTTTGATTAATCCATTATCACCAGTATTGTTATGATTGTTAATATTACTAATAATAATAATATAAATAGTATTATTCTTACTGTTATTAATTTTATTGTTACACTTATTATTAGTATTATTCGTATTGTCTTATTCTGAGTATGAGTATCAGTATTAGTATGACTATTACTAAGATTGTGACGATTACTATTCATACTATGTTCGTATTATTATGATTATTCCTATTATCCATATCATTAGTTTTAGTAGTATTATTCGTCTTAGCTTTTTTATGATTAGTCGCATTCATCTTCTTACGACTCAAAGTATCATTCTCGTTCATAATAATATTCGTTTTCTTATTAAAAGTATTAATGATGCTATTATGGTGCTTAGTGTTACTACTCGTATGAGCATGAGTATGCATATGACTACGATTATGAGTTTTTGAAATAAAAACGAATAGTTGTCTTACCGATCTTATGACTACTATTAACAGTGTTATTGACAGTAGTGATATGATCGTTAGTAGTAGTAGTTGCAGTAGTGATAGTATTCTTGCCACTACTATTAAGACGCTATATATATATGTATTACCAGTACGATTACTGGTGTTACAATGAAAGGATGCTGTGAATATTAGTAGTCTTCTTCCCAATATCACGAATATGAGTAGTACTAGTACTACGAGTAATAATAGTAGTAGTCGTACGACTCTTACTAATATATGATTAATGTTGAATGGTATTAATAGTATGGCCATGGTTATTAATAGTATGTCCATTGGTATTCGTATGAGTGGTCTTATGATGTGTCTGGTTATGCGTTCGTACCATTAGTATTATTATGTGGCCTCCTCCTCCTCCTCCTCCTCCTCTTCGTCCTCCTCCTCCGCCTCCTCGTCCGCCTCCTCCTCCTCCTCCTCCTCCTCCTCCTTCCTTCCCCTCCTCCTCCTCCTCCCTCCTCCCCCTCCTCGTCCTATCCTCCTCCTTCCTCCTCTCCTCCTCTCCTCCTCCCTCCTCCTCCTCCTCTCCTCATTCTCCTCCTCCTCCTCCTCCTCCTCCACCTCCTCCTCCTCTTTCCTCCCAACTCCTCCTCCTCCTGCCTCCTCTGCTCCTGCTCCTCCTCCCCCTTCCCCCCTCCGCCTCCTCCTCCTCCTCCCCCTCCTCCTCCCTCCTCCTCCTCCTCCCCTCCTCTTTCGTCCTTCTCCTCCTCCTCCTCCTTCTCCTCCTCCCTCCTCCTCTCCTCCTCCTCCTCCTACTCCCTCCTCCTCCCCCTCCTCCTCCTCCTCTCCCTCCCCATCCTCCGCCTTCCCTTCCTCCTCCTCCCCCTCCTCTCTTCTTCCCCTCCTCTCCTCCTCCACCTCCTCCTCCTCCTCACCTCCTCCTCCTCCTCCTTCCACTCCTCCCCCTCCTCCCCATCCCTCCTTCTCCCTCCTCCTCCTCCTCCTCCTCCTCCTCAATCATCCTCCTCCACATCCTCCTCCTCCTCCTCATCATCATCCTCCTCCTCCTCCTCCTCCTCCTCCTCCTCTTCCTCCTCCTATTCCTCCTCCTGGCCCATCGATAAGCTATTCGGACTGCCTGGACCTTGGTTTTCCGACGAGAGGAAAGCGCAGCTTCCCCATACGACGATATACTCAGGCACGAGGTGTTCAGCTTAGCTCGCCCGCCTCACGGGGACCAGGTTCGCTTCCACCCCCATCGCGAGTTCAGCTTGAGCGTCAGTCTGCAAAAAGTCAATGTCCATGTGGTGTACGACCCAGTGGTGAGCGGAAGTCAGCGCTAGGGGCAAAGTATAAAGATGCAGCAAATACAGCGGCAACGGCGGGGCTGGTCCCCTCCTCGTCATCCCAGTCCTCATCCTCCTCCTCCTCCTCCTCCTCCTCCTCCTCCTCCTCCGACTCCTCCTTCTCATCCTCCTCAAAATCCTCCTCCTCCTCATTATCCTTCTCCTCCGACTCCGATTCCGACTCATCCGTATCCTCCTTATCTTCCTCCTCCTCCTCGTCTTCCTCTTCCTTCTCCTGAGCTTCATACTTCTATCCCGCATCTCATCATCATCGTCAGCATCATCATCATCATCATCATCAGCATCATCATCATCATCATCATCATCATCATCATCATCAGCAGCAGCAGCAGCAGCAGCCGCAGCAGCAGCAGCAGCAGCATCAGCATCATCATCAGCAGCAGCATCAGCATCCCCATCACCATCAATATCATCATCAAAATCATAACCATCACCATCACCATCAACATCACCATCACCATCACCATCGTCATCACCATCTCATCACCATACAATCAGCATGTTCAGCATCATCCTCGGCATCAACAGCATCACCATCACCATCACCATCACCATCGCCAGCACCATCACCATCACCATCACCATCACCATCACCATCACCATCTCATCATCATACCATCATCATCAGATTCATCAGCATCATCAGCATCCTCAGCATCGTCATCATCATCACCATCGTCACCATCATCATCATCATCATCATCATCATCATCATCATCATCATCAACAACAGCATCATCATCATCATATTACCAGCATCATCGGCATCGTCATCATCATCCTCAGCATCCGCATCATCAGCATAATCAGCATCATCAGCATCGTTAGCACCATCGTAATCATCATCAGCAAAACCAGCATAAGCATCGTTACCATTATCATCATTGTCATCATCATCACATCACCATACCATCATCATCACCAGCACCATAAACCTCATCATCAGCAACATTATCATCAGCATCATCATCATCATCGTCGTCGTCATCGTCATCGTCATCATCATCGCCACCGTCATCCTCATCATCATCAACAACAGCATCATCATCATCAGCATCATCATCATCGTCGTCAGCATGATCCTAATCATCATCACCATCATCATCAGAATCAGCATCGTCATCATCATCATCATCATCGTCGTCGTCATCATCGTCGCCATCGCCCGTCATCCTCATTATCGTCAGCGGCATCAGCATCAGCATCAGCATCAGCATCAGCAGAAGCATCATCATCACCAACATCAGCATCAGCATCACCAGCATCAGCATCACCAGCATCAGCATAAGCAGCATCATCAACGGCATCAGCATCATCATCAGCATCATCATCAGCATCATCATGAGCATCATCATCATCAGCATCATCATCTGCATCCCCCATGTTCCTCCTCATCCTCATCCTGTACCTCCTCCTCTTCCTGCTGCTCCTCCCACGCCTACCCCTCCTCCTCCTCCTCCTCCTCCTCCTCCTCCTCCTCCTCCTTTTCCTTCTCTTCCTCCTCCTTCTCCTCCCCCTCCTCCTTCTCCTCCTCCTCCTGCTCCTGCTCCTCATCGTCCTCCACCTCCTCCTCCTCACCATCCGCCTCCTCCTCCTCCTCCTCCTCCTCTTCCTCCTCCTCTTCCTCCTCCTGGTCCTCCTCCTCCTCATCATACTATTCCTCCACTTCCTAATCCTTCTCCTCCTCCTCCTCCTCCTCCTCCTCCTCCTCCTCGGCCTCCTCTTCCTCCTCCTCCTCCTCAAATTTGCAAGAGTTTCACGGATTGAGGGCGGTTCCTTTTCAAACTGTGGCTCTCGCCTCAGCGCCGCAAAAAAAAGAGTTTCACGGATTCCCATGATCAACGAACGCACCAGAAATTGTGTTTTGGAAGGATTCAGGATTTTGGGGGTGCAACAACTATGTTAATTCGCGCTATTGAAGCCCATCGATGGCGTTCTGGCACGATTCCGGATCGTCAGGACGCAGCTGTCAGGTTGATACGTGGCGTTGAGATCCCGAGAACAATGTTTTTGCATGCTCAGGGTCTTCAAACGGATGTCGAAAAGAAAGCAGTTCCCTCAATGGAAATGAACAGTTATAGGGGCCTATGAAGAGGGAGAAAGAGGGAGCTTGGAGGGAGGGTGAATTCCGACATCGTTGATGACCCTTGGGTTTACACTAGTCCTCCTCCCCCTTGTCCTCTCCTCCTCCTCCTCCTCCTCCTCCTCCTCCTCCTCCTCCTCCTCCTCCCCCTCCTCCTCCTCCTCCTCCTCCTCATCCTCCTCCTCCTCCCCCTCCTCCTCCTCATCCTCCTCATCCTCCTCCTCCGACTCCTCACCTCTTTGCCTTCGAGCGGCGGGCGCGTCTGCACGCAGGCCGCGTCTTGTCACAAGCACCGCGACGAGCCGGCAGGCGACCGCGAGCACAGGACAGCCCAGCAGCTACGCCGCCCCAGCAACGCACAACCAATGCCGCCGCGCGGTCGGCGCAGTCCGCCCCCAGGGCGGCCCAGAGATGCCGCGTTGCGGCCCGGCGGAGGGCCACACCCCAGGCGGGGCGGCAGCGCAGGCGGGCCCTTGGCGACTCCGCGGGGCGGGCTCGGGGCAGGCTCGGGGGCGCGAGGTGGGCTCGGGGCGAGCTCTGGGCGAGTTCGGCGAGGGCTCAAAGCGGGCTCAAGGCCCGCTGGCTCGGAGCGGGTTCGGGGCGGGCTCGGGGCGGTCCTGACCTGCCACGTTGCCCCCAGCCCCACCAGGCCACCAGCTATCCAGCTAGGGCATCCGCTGTCGGCTCGCCGCCCGCTTCCAGCAGCGCAGCCCGCCCCCACGCGAAGCTGCGCAGGCGCCGCAGAACCGCCCGGCCGCATCCGCTGGCGGTTTCCAACGCCAGCGGCACCATGCGCCAGGGCGCCTCCTAGCGCCAGCTAACGGCCGCGGCACGCAGGGCGTCGGCATCACTGGGCACGCTGTACTTGACAGCGAC